TGCTGGCGACTCTGCCCTATGTCCTGACGCTCTTCCTTACCAGGCGTGGCTCCGCACGCCCGACAGCTTCGACATCCTCGCTGACTTCGCTTTGGCATCGCCGCCAACAGCAACGCTCCGTACGATCTCAACTATTCCCTCATGGCCATGTTGCCGAAAGGCGACGAGCCGCTTGGCAATTCCGAGTGCATGCGCACTCCCGGATGCCTCCGTCCGCTCTCAATGAAGAACTCGGCTGTGAAGTTGCTGGCCTCCGCCTCGAATCGCCAGCTCCACGCCCTCGCCGCCCAGACGTCGCCCGAGCAGCAGGGCTTCGTCAATGACCGCCAGTTTTTGAATAACGTTGTCGTGGTGGACGCCGCTTCCAGACAGCTCGGCCTATCTCCCTCAGCATCGATAGACATGCCCAGTGTTGTCAGCATGGACATCGCGGCCGCATTCCCGAGTCTCGGACACCGCTGGATGTGGGACACGCTCTCGCGCTGGGGCATGCACGCCAACTCGATGCACCCCATCCAGGCCTGCTACTATTGGCCTGTCTTTTTCCTGGATATGGGGGGAGAGCGGCGCCCGCTGTTCATGGTGGCCTCTGGCGTTGTTCAAGGCTGCCCGTTGAGCGGCACCATGTGGCCCCTCGTTTTCGACCCCATCATCGCCGCAACCAGCTTCGAGGTCAAGGCCACCAAGCACGGCCTCGCCAGCGCCTGCGCGGACGACCTAGGCGCCATCCTCGCCAGATTCCGCGACATCAACAAGATCGCACCGCATGCGATTGCGGCCCAGACCCTCGCTGCACTACACCTTCAAGCCAAGAGGTGCATAATCGCCCCAACATGAACACTGCCTACCCGGATCTCATCGACGAGATGCATCTCATACTAGCCGCAGTTCGTTCTTCCTGGCTTAACTTCAAGATCGAATCCAAGGCCCGCGATTGGCTTTGGCGCCACACTTGCTGATCAATGGCGTGGTCCCGCAGCGAAGTGGCGGGGCCGCGTTGAGAAGCTCGCCGCGCCCCATGCCACGACCCAGCAATGCATCAAGCTCTACAACGTCGCCGCGGTCACCTGCCCGGGGCGCGTCGGCCAGCTCTACGAGCCCCCCGAGGGCATCCTCGAGAGAGAGAGAGAGAGAGCAGCAGGCCTTCCACAAGCTGTTGCGCGTCGCCCCCTCCAGCTCCGCCAAGTCTGACATCCTTGCGATGTCTCTTTGGACCAACGCGGAAGTACCCATGGGCATCGAGAATTGCCTTGCAGCCACCCTCTGGAGAACCGCTTCTTCGACTATGGCAGAGTGGAGGAGCGCGCGCGGGAAGCTACGCGACGAAGCATGCAATCACCTGCCCTTCGTATCTGTAGTGCAGGGGCAGTGGTGACTGCTGGGAAATCTAGACTGCGATTGTCCAGCGGTTCGAGGGCATCACCAACTCTACGTACGTCGTGGAACGCAACGGCTCCCATCTCAAACGCTTGACTCGTTCGGCTGGTCCTCTCCCGCGAGCTCGCGCCGCTATGGTCGGCCCCCACAAGCGCGATGCGCGTGCAGGTCTACAAGCTATTCTTCTACGGCAGCAACCTCAGCACCAACATCGACATCCTGACCGACCTCTCCGCCGTGAACCTGCCGAGGTCACGCCGCAGAAAGCCTACATGATGAAGCTGAACGAGCAGCTCTACGTGGACACCATGCCCGACACCATCAAGCGCCGTCTTCT